ACTGATTGACTGCCTTTTCATGGTACTTAGATCATCAACTTCACTTTAAATGCAAAAATCCTTGTGTATGCTTCCTTAACCACCAATAAAGGGAATAGTTAATGTGCCAGAAAGCAAGAAAAATAGACTTTAAAATAACAGAACATTCTTTTAACAGTCTTACCTTTATGTACAGCAGGGTTTTTCAACTTTGGTACTATTGACGTACGGGCCAGATAATGCTTTTCTGGGAGGGGTTGTCCTGTGCATCGTAAGAGGTTTCACGGCATCCCTGGCCTCTATCCACTAGAGGCCAACAGCTATTGCTTCCTTCCTCCCTGCACCCCCAGTGGTGACAGCCCCAAATGTGTCCAGATAGTCCTCATCCAGTTGAGGACTGCTGCCCTACAGGAAGAAGGAACTAGATCACGACATTTCACTGTTACAGGAGGTTATACAACTGCTTTGGGCATGGTGATTCCCAAAACACTTTCTGGGATACTCACAGGGTATCTGCCCAAAACACTTGCTGGGATACTCACAGGGTATCTTTTGATACCACATGTTCAGATGCAGGTCAAATGAGCAGCGCTGGAGCTTTATTTTGGAAAATAACTTGGCTTTAGTTTATTTCACTCTTTTTCTCCCCATTTGGGCTTTCTATTTGCCAATGACAGCAAAATGACATTTCACAGTTAACTTTAACTTCCTGTGTAATGATCAATTTTTTTCTTTTCTTTTTTGTTTTGTTTTCCCCTTGTTTTTCAGCTCCCCCAGGCACAAAAGGTAAACGCATTTCCATTGCGTTTCGGTTTCAGTCATCCCCAGAGCTCACGAGTCCTGCACGTGTCCATGCTGCTGTGCATTTGGCTCTGTTCATGACCAGTGAAACGGTTTTCCTCTTACAGCTTCAGAAACCTGAAGTTGGGCAGGAGCAGAGAGGCCAACAGACTTAGCTGTCCACTGCCCCTCTGCTGAGTTAGTCCCACCAAAGAACCCCACTGTGGCCATTTGTTGTGTGTGTGTCGGGGGGAGGGGTGTGAACCCATGCTCAAGCATTTTCCTAAGAATTCTCAAATAATAGGTCAAGACAAAGTTTGGCACATTCCTTCAAATATGGCATTCCAGGCCTTCCCTGGGATAATTTCCTAGGGAGACAGATCATGTGAATAATTAGTAAGGCCCAGTGACCAAGTTTAAATTCTGGACTCTTAAGCCAAATCTCTGAAAACTCCTCTTGGGCTTCATTAATTGCAAAATCAGCAGCTCCATTGCTTGTATCGTTGCCTGTATCACCCGGACAGCATAAGAGCAGAATTCTTGCCATGGCCAGACCCTTTCACTGGTCCTCATTGTCTGTCTGAGATGATCTTGTTCCACCATACAGAATGTTCCCCCATACAGAATGTTCCCTGTCGAGAAAGACTCCATGTGGTTGCAGTGATGGCTTTGCTGTGTTGTCTCCATGGCATGTCATTGTATCCTCAGGAGAGTTACAGCAGAAAACATATCACTCAATGCCTGCTACATTGTTCTTGTGTATTTCACAAACATAAGCAAACTTCTGAAAGACACAGCAATTTCTCGGGGCCAGATGTGGGTTGGTTTTCATTTCAAGAGTTAAGGTAGGGCACCAGCCTGAAATTTAAGCAGCATCTCCCAAGTTCCCCGGGTTGGAGCAGAGATGGTTTGGTTCCTTCTCGCTGAGAGAGACAGCACAACTGCTGTACANAATTTTGGGAGTAGTGTGTATGTAGTTTTTCTGTTTAGTTGTAGTCTCCATGGCATGTCATTGTATCCTCAGGAGAGTTACAGCAGAAAACATGTCACTCAATGCCTGCTACATTGTTCTTGTGTATTTCACAAACATAAGCAAACTTCTGAAAGACACAGCAATTTCTCGGGGCCAGATGTGGGTTGGTTTTCATTTCAAGAGTTAAGGTAGGGCACCAGCCTGAAATTTAAGCAGCATCTCCCAAGTTCCCCGGGTTGGAGCAGAGATGGTTTGGTTCCTTCTCGCTGAGAGAGACAGCACAACTGCTGTACAAAAGACAGTCTGTTCAGACCATATGGACAACCAGAGGCCTAGAAATCATTACACAATTACTCAAATATATTTGAGATATTTAAACAAGGCAAAACGTGCTAGTGTGTGACTTGGCTTGAGGTAATGTTTGATTACACTTCAATGCCATCACAAAAGGACTGAACACTTCATTAAAAGTTAAAGTATTTGAGGATAGCAATAGCTTCCAGGGTAAATATATGGTCAGAATTCCAGATTGTTTGGAAAACTCAATGTCTTTGATAGGACACAATTTCGTAATTACCCACATTTGACATTTTTTTACAAAGAGACTTCACAAATTCAGTGCCTAAAAATGAACTGGCCTTTACTTACTGGCATTTATTCATCAAATTTCCACGGATCCATATATAAAAATGTTCCTGATGTAGAAGATTATTCATGAATGGAGGTGCCATCAGCCAAAACCCAAAAACCCACAGAATATGGTAAGAACAAATGTTGCTGGGATGTATGATTCTTCAATAGCACTTAGCTCATCGCACGTTCTCTTGTCATCGTGTATTGACACACATCACATGCCCTGCAGAGCAGAGCTCGCTATTGTGATCATATAAAGTCCACAGTCAAGGAAGATGCCCCAGCTGCTTTCCTAACTCTTTTCTCTGTAGCACTGTGTGTAACAATAACTCTGCTGCCTGTTCCTATTATGCCTACAAATGGTCTTTTTGCTATTAACATAGAAAAAGGTACTTAACTTAAAATAATATTAAGAGCCCTGTGTGAAATGATTTCAGAACTCTTAGGGGTTATTTCTGGGCAATTCAGCTCTTTGGAGAAGGAGTTTGAATATAAACCTAGGCTATTATTTTTATTCTATAAAAAGAAATCAAAAGTGCAGATAGGGTCTACCATATGATCCAACTTTAACTAATCACATTTCTGGGCAATTCAGCTCTTTGGAGAAGGAGTTTGAATATAAACCTAGGCTATTATTTTTATACTATAAAAAGAAATCAAAAGTGCAGATAGGGTCTACCATATGATCCAACTTTAACTAATCACACATCTGGCATCATACTTTTAGATATGTTGGTTACAAAAGGATATTAATCAACTTGAAATTACAAAAGTGGAAAGTTGAAAAAGGTAGAAGAATAGTGGGACAAATTTATAGAATGAAGAAATTAGTTTGGTCTAGCATGCAGAAATTTCTCCACCCTTGTTTTTCCTAGTTCTCATATTCCTGAGGAAGAATGGCTAAGCCTGCATTTAAACCGTTTTCCATGAAGGTTTCAGAGCATCCCTGGCCTCTGTCTACTAGGACAGAGGTTTCTAGGAGTTATCTGGGCTGAAGAGTGAGGTGAATTGAGGAGAGACACACTGCAGATTGAAAACATCTTGCCCCAGGGCTGCAAGTCTCCATCTGGTGATGTATCAGCATCTCTGGGCCTTGCTCTCCTTCCCTCCACTCCCCAGCATTACCTCAGTGACAGGTGCAGAAGCCTCTGCCAGAAGGAAGAGGTTCTTACAAGCATCAGCATCCCTGAAATATACTCTCACTACTTGACCAGCAAAGGAATGTGGTGGGTTCCACTCTAGCCCACATCCATTGGTGACCGTGGGCAAGCTACCTAGCCTCTCTAAGCCTAAGGGTTCTTATTTAATGAGAATAATAGAATAACCTTCCAATTTTGTTATGAGAGTTATTTTTTTTTTGCTTGTGCCCAGCACAGAGCCTGACACATGCTGAATGCTCACAAAATGTAGCGTTCCCATTAATATTTGGCCTGACTTGGCCCCTCATGCTGCAGAACAGGTCAAGAGAGCAGTCGTATGTGAAGTGGTGATCTAGGACCTCTGCACAGTGGTTTGTGGTTCTGACTTAATCCCAGGGAATAATTGGGAGATGGCAAAAGAGCCCAGCAGGTACGTGGTGCACCTCCTATTTTATTAGAAACTCTGTATGTTAACTGACTGTCCCTTTCACAAAGAGTCAGAAAGAAAGGGATATTGGGCTTGAAACCCCAACAAACCAAAGACATTCAGGGACAATTGTTCTGAGAAATTTCTTCCCAGTGTCTTTGGCATTACCCATAGATCTTACCCATTTGTGGATATGATTGTAATCAGCACCTCCAAACCCATGGGTTTGTTGTTCTGGGGGTGAAAGTGAGACACCCCTAGCCACTGTGTCTTTGGCCTACTTTTCACAGGAGGTCATGAGCACAAACATTGCAGACATATGGTGTCTGCATTTGTGCTGTGTTTTTGTTGGAATCTGTCTTTGTATCATCTGCAACTGTTTTCTCTATAAATATTTTATAGTATGTTTCTGTAAACATGTTTATTTCAATCTCTTGGGTGATCCACAACTAAAAATGTCTCATTTAGGTGTCTCTCATGTGTAGCATTCATTAATGAGTGTTGTCTTTAAGTCATGGTTTTCATGATTCTAATATTTTGGGGGTCTTCCAAAACTTCTCTTCTAGCCCTTTAATAACAATTTTCTAGAACAATGGTTTGCAAAAATTTTTTCTTATTTTTTTTTTCTTGTGATTCTTAAGCACTCTGGGATAATTCCTAGACTATAAATTTCAACCTTTGATTTACCATTGAGATGTTACTAATTGGTGATGCACCTGATGAATGTTAAATATTTTCACCAAATACAGAGGCAGTGTCCTGAAGCCTTGGCTGAAAACCAGGTAGCAGTGCAGGCACTATGCTTTTAAGCCATCACAAGTCCATTCCTTTTAGTGGAAATTGAACCGATTTCTTCAGAAGATTGATTGTGATTGAATTCAGCAATAGAGATCTATGTGTAAGAAAGGTTTGCCCTTTTTTCCCTTACATGGTACTTCTTGACTTCTACAAAAATATCTGAGATATCCCATTTTATAATAATAATAATGTAGCAGAATTACCCAAAGCCATTTTCAAATGTACCTTCAATAGTCATGCTATTGAACAAAATAGTCCATTTTTCTAGCTGCATTTTCATTCAAGCAGGTTCTGTCTATAAGAACCGAACATCAGTTTAGGCCTTAATATTCAAAGTCAAAATGCTCTTTGGGGAATTCCAGATATGGCTGTTTATGTGGGTTAACTTGTTGAGATGCTGGTACCCTTCCCATCATTTTCTGCTGCATTCATTAGACTTTGGAATTTGCTAAAGACCATTTCTGGAAGGTTTCCTAGGTGCTCTATGGCATGCTAATAGTTAATATCAGCCTGAGAATTCTGAGTAAGCATCAGCATTTTTCTCAAAACCATAGTTAAAGCAAACCACATCTCTAATGCTGTTTGGAACAGCAATTGATGCATTCAGGGCTGTGCAGTAATGGCAAAATGATCCCTGTTTAATAGCCCGACCACGTGTTTTGTTTCCTGTTAGGAATAGCTTAACTTGCCTTCTTGAACAAACACAGCAGGGTTCAAGATCTGTTGTTCTATGCCTGCTGTGATATTCTGTGCTGCTTCACTTGTATGAGGACTCAGGAGTGCATAAATTAGCTTCTTAAATGGGGGTCGATATTTGGTATTTCTTCCAGGATGGAACTGTTTTATTAATTTCCCCTCCTGAGTGTAAATGGGATCCTGAATCCATTTGTGTTTTCTTTGTTTCCTTTTTATGTTATATTTTGGGGGAATAAATGGGAGTCTTAATTTATCTAATCTTTCTTTCTTCCTTTCCTCCTTTCTTTCCCCCTTCCTTCCTTCCTTCTTTCTTCCTTGTTCTTTAGGTACAAACTTGTGC